ATATATATATATATATATATATATATATATATATATATATATATATATAGTAGATGTGAGTGAGATCGGAACTCATATTCTCAATAATATAAAGCCGTGTATCGAATTAAAAGAGGTTCAGATATATTAGAAGGATAACAATCATTTATTAATTTAAAAGTAATTTTGCATAAAAACTAGATTAAGTTTTCCTATGTTTTGCTTTAGAAAAAAGAAGAATGTCTCAGTTATAAAGCCATTTTGTTTGGAGATTTGGTAAGAGTGTGGTGGAACGCCGACGTGTACGTGTGTGATTTTGGGCGTATAGGAAAAAGGAAGAAAGGTGCAAAGTGTTGTGAAGATAGTGTGAGTGATGGTGTAGTGGGGTAGATAGTGATAAGGAAGTAACAATGAACAATCGTTAGACAGGTGAGCTAGAGAGAGACGTCACAACAAGTACGCTTGTAAAGTTAACAATGGAGTCAACGCAAACGCGGACGTTTCCGGCGATGTATAGGCGTGTAGGTCTAGGAACTGTGACGATCCATCCGGTACGACACAATGATTTTAATATGTAAATGTATGTCCCGAAAGTGACATCACGGCTAATAAACAACTGAGGGACAGAAAAAGTAAAAACGTTTCTAGTTAAATCAAGCCAGATCTGAGAGAAATTATCATTAATAAATATGACGAACGCAATTAAGAATAATGAGCAATGGACATAAAATTAGTTCATTGTAAACGTAATATTCAATTACATGAATATTTGTTTATATACTGTATTAGGTGTTACATAGGTCACGAATTTATTTTCCAAAATTTCAAATTGCATTGAAAGTTTCAAGTTAATGCATCGAAGAATTAACACAATGTAAACGGGTGTGAATGTATATATTTCAGGTTTGTTACTCTTTAGGGTACATAACATTTTTTTTTATGTATTTTATAATATGGTAAATTGTATTGTTGTGAATTATTATGGAGTCACGATGGGAAAAGGTAATGAAATCAAACAAATATTTTCTTAAAATAAAACAAAACAGAGTTGCACCGTTGTTTGCTGTCGCAACGTTAAACATTTGAAACCTGATATTTTTATTATTTAGGAATGAGACGATTGTTGCCACCAAAGTAAGCCGCGTACCTCATCCCCATCAAAATAGTCGAGAATGTCCAGCACTCCGCACGGAACCGATGGGAAAAGTAAAAGTAAAATTAAAGGAAAGAGTAAAGGGTTCAGAAGGTAATTATATAAATGTTTGAAGTCCAAATAAAAAAATATAATTTTAGTTCACCTATCCGGCTAAAAAAATAATACATTTTCAAAACAAACAAAAAACAGTAAAATTAATTAAAGAAAATTTCTTGCTTCCTAAAGAAAAACGAAAATATTCGTTTTTATATTTCAATGTACCCTACATTTCCACAAAATATAAGATCATACAAAGCGCAATCAAAGAAACAATTTAGAATTGCTTCTAACATTTTGTAAAAACATGCGAATAATTCCGTAATCTAACAAGTTTCTATTGTAACTTCTTTAATAATCCGTAATACGTAAAGAGCTGTAAAATATACAATTTCCTACGTATTTCAATCGGTGGACTGATAAATCTTTCAGCATATTAAGATATTATATTTCTAGAATCCCAAAGACAAAACCTTTTTAGCTCTCTTGTTTTCCAAACAAGAAAATATAGTTATCCTTTTGAACTCTTTAATTCACCAAGTAACGAGTTTCTTTTATACTCAAACATTTATGGTTTTATATACTTACTTGACAAATGGGTTAAATATGGGTGAGAGATGGTAGATCATAATTATTGCGAACGGAATCGCAATAGATAGAATTAAGAAGAAAGCAAACACCAAGCGTCCAAAACTGAATTTTCTCGTGTTCCAGTGGTCAACCAAAGGAAACAACAGAAGCGGTGAGATTAGGTAAAGTTGCATGTCAACCGCCATATACCAGGAATGCCAGAGGCACTGTTGGAAAGAACAATAATTTGTCAATTCAATGAGAAAAACCAAAAAATAATTGTTATCTTACTTTGCTACATGTATTTCAAACTTCGTGCTCACCATGTTGCTTAAATTGGTGCGGTAATTGTGAATGTAAAGAATGTTCCGCCACCAGTTTGCTCGGCATGGGTTGACATCAGCCGATGAGAGCTCGTCCCACAGAGGACCATCCCCAAAAAATGGAAGTCCACCGGTGTATAGCAATATTACAAACACCATAAGCGGTGTCAATCTATAACGGAAAGGTTCAGTTCATTTCGTGAGAGACATGTGAAGAAAACTAAATGATACATGTTTACTGGAAGGCCTTACTTAAAAGGGTGCGGTTATTTACATGCAACGTTGAAATTAAGATTCAAATGAATTTCGGGATGTTCACAAGTGAAAAATTTACATCAATTATTGTTAGTAAAATTATATTACCCCTTCCCCACAGAATTGACTGGGTATACTAGAACTTGGAAAGCAAAACCGAGAGTATTTTTGATGTGAGTTTGTATGTAGGAGCCTAAAATTTTAGAGAGACGTCGTATGTAAAGTGCTTATAAAGTAAATATGATGATATCTGATGATATCTATAATGATATTCAGTATCTTCATCTTATGTCAACAGTTTCATTTTAAGTCAACACACCAATACAAATACATTTGTAGTGCCTGCCGCTGATTTTCGAATATTCAGCATTAAAATACATTTTCAATTTTCTTATTGGATTATTAAAAGGAATCTTACGTCAATTCAATAATGTCATTGGGTCAGTCCATGTGTATGGTTAGATTAAACTCCCGAGTTTAACTCAATTACTTAATATACAAACACATTATGAACACTATCTATGATACTAACTCAGATTCTGTTTTACTGTAATATCCGCAACAGTTTCAAATATATAATTTGTTTGTTCATCTCCCGCCCGACATTGTGTTGCCTGTTACATAAAAAGTGATTGCATATGCTTGTAAGTGACAGAAATATTTTCGAATCTCTGGACCTATTGCTCGAAAATTTGGAACAAATACATTTCAGGAGCCAATAATGAAAATGCGTGATTGTTTTTCAAAACTGTTACTCCACAAATGTTTTTTTTATATTCAGGTCAATGCAATCCCCAATAGCGTGGCTCATGTGAAAGTTGTTTCGACAAACCGGGCTAGTCCAACCCGTGTGAACCGAATTAAACCTTATTCCCTTATTCCTTCCCAATTTTGGACGATGGGTTTATGATACAGGACGCGTGCGAGACGCGAGCGCGAAGACGTTACCTGTTGGTGATTCCCTGACTTGATTGGGCCGGACGTGACTGCGACTACTCAGCGGCCCCTAGAAGGCGCTTGTAACGGAGGATTACTCCAATAATTGTAAAAGTCAACGGAGATTTATTCCAAAGTCCATATGTAGCTAGGAGACGTATTGGGTCTCTATAGACGCAACAAATTTTTAAAAAAGGCCATCTGGGCTTCATTGTTGCTGGGCGTGTCCATGCGCGTCCGGTAGAATGCGAGCAGAGTTGCCGGATCGAGAGGGGCCAAACGAGAAGACGGAGAGGAAGGTCAGAAAGGAACGGGCGAAACAGAATAAGTGAGAAGAGCGAGAGGAGCGGAAGAAACCAAAAAGAGGCGAGGTGCACTGAGGTGGAGCGAAAGAGCAGAAGAATGGAAGGAGTGAGGGTCGCGGTTAAACGAAAAAAAGCGAAAGATTCGGAATACGGTGGATGGGAGTGGTAGGAGATATTCGCAGGACACCCATAGTATGCCAAAAATAGTTTGGGGTCTAACGAAGCGTGATAAGCGGGGGGAATAGATAGAGTGGAAGGGGTTGAATGGGCGTGTTGGGAGGAGCCGTGACATGAAGAAAATTGTGGTGCGAGGACGAAGGACGAAGGGTGATGACAGGGAAGGTGTGCTCCAGCAGAACAGGCATGGTGGGCGGGGCAGTTGCGAGCAGGCAGTCATGATATCTTCATAAGGTTTACGGTTTAAGTGAGAGCAACATATAGAGAGGGAAAGGCCTGATGTGAAGGGCGGGATTTGTAGTCATGTCGGCTGTGGCAGGCACTACGGCGGATATGGACAAAACAGGATGAGCGGGAAGAACAGATACAGCGGACGGGGTGGGGTGAGTGGGGCGGGAGTTGAAGGCAATCTGACCATTCAGGCCGGAGAGGGTGGTGGAGACGGGCAAAGCGTGCGGAGCGTGACGTTGGGTAATCAGTCAGATGTATAATATATCTACATTGCCATTACATTTGTTTGCCATTACATTTCAAACAGTGAAAATAACGTATCTTTAAAATTCCATCCGTGAAATTTCGCATTAGTTTTCAAGAAATGGGTAAAATAATGTCGAATTGTCAAGTATAAAGGCGATTTAATTCACAAGGTAGAAAGTTTCAAAGAAGCGTGTCAGTGATCAAGACGTTAAGAACATTCCCATGAGTGATTTAGATAGATAATTTTGTGAACAAATTATCTCTTGTTCCCTCGACTTAGGCAACTATCCTGCTTTACAGAGGGATAACAGAAATCCTACAACTCGCTGAAAACACTTCAAACAATGTGCGTACCGGATGAATCTGTGCAAATAGAAGGTAGGAAGCCAGGAGCGCAGCTGGCGGAGCGAGCGCGGCTGGCGGCGGCGGGTGCAGGCGAACGAGTAGGCCAGCACGCACCCGGCCAGGCAGAGGAAGGTGTCGACGGCGAAGAACCCGGCTGGGACGTACACGTGCGTCCACCCTAGAAGCCGCTGCGGCAGCTCCCGCTTGTTCAGCAACGGCAGATTCAGCATCAGTCCCTCCCGGTGGGTGATCACCACACTCACCATGGACAGAGTGCGCAACCCGCCGAGCGCCGACATACGCGAAAGCGCCCAGCTCCAGTCGCCGGGGTCCTTCGCGCCCACGCGCTGCACACAAGGAGCAAATCACATCAGCCACAGGAATGGCTAGTTAACGCAGTAGGACCAAATGAGGCTGGGTAGGGTAGGAGTAAACACAATTCGTTCCTTTTCCGTCTAGTACTAGACACATTTACAACAATGATTAAGCTTATATTCGGCATTAAACTCGTAATTCGTTTTAAACGTCTTCGTCATAAAAGTAGAGTAATTCTTCTTGAACTCCTTCATTTTTAATAATGTAATTGCATATGGTAACTTATTGCAACCGGACCTCGCTAGAGGCAAGAAGTCTGGCGTCGCGCAGGCCCTGAGGCCTATGAATTAGGGCTTAGACAGACACCGTTAGGTTGTGGCTACCGGGGCCCCGACTCTGGAAAGGCCAGGAACGCAGATGCACAACATTTCAGAATTAGTTTGGGAACTTCTTGGAAATGTAGGAGTTATCAGCAGTGAAGTCTACAGGCAGAACCGCGAGAATCATATGTTGTTAGTTACCGTGCGAATGCCAGTATGACATCGCGATGGGGGTTTCCCTCTTTCTAAATCCCAGAGCCTGTCCATTATAGTTATCGTTTGGAATATTTTCTCTGCAACATTACATTACTTCTCGATCCTACGATATACAATTGAATCCTGGCAGTAAAATTCATAATGATATTGTGGTCTCCTTACCTTCACATCCTGTGCCTCGTGTGAGGCCGCATATCCCGCATAGCGGCGAGAACCATCTCCGTTCCGTGCATTATCTCCACCTCCAGGGCCCTTATCATCTGGAGAGAACGTTTGGAGGTGGGGGCGGGGATCGGGTGCGCCGCTGATCTTCCTCCAGGCGGTGACGGGCGACAAGGCGTTGGCCGTCTCTTGCGAGGGCTGCCAGCCCACGGGCAGCCTTCGCCGCAAGCCCTCGTATGTCAGCAAGTACCAGCCAAGCGCATTCACCACGGCCAGAAGCACTACCAACCTGCACAGGCACACGCCCCACTTCAACCCAAACACACAATGCAACAGCCACTGAAATAACTTTAGGCTTATGTCTAACATTGTACGTTAGATGAACCAGCCCAGCGTGTTCAGCACGGCCAGGAGCAAGCACAGTGACATGCAA